CGCTCAAAAGCTCATAATTGAGTAATGTCAAAACGGCCAACAAAGCAAACCGGCACAAAAGAAACTGCTGTCCACGCGAAGCACGGGAAGGGAAAACGCAGCATGATCGCAACAGAGAAGTAATATTCTCAAACAAAGGATAACACGATTGAGAGTGGGGGAAAAGGGGGGGCAGCAGAAATAGGAAACATGATACAACATTAGTCGGAAGCGTAAAAACATTGCGGATAAGCAAGTGTAAGCAAGTTTTAATGATGATCATCGTACTCGCTGATTACTTTTCTGACCACGGAATCGAAGATATTTCAATTGTAAGAAAGAGACAATAGCATCTAGAATTCGCTTGCTTATTGGTTGAAGAATTACATATAGCTAGTTTTCGAAACTCAAACACACAGCTAGATGGCTCCATAGAGTTCACCGAAAACTGCTAGGATGTTTCACAAGACATTTCATTTTCGGTGGATATGGCCGGAACGCTTTCATACACTCCATGTAATATAGTTATAAGTATAGAAGCTGGAAAAGCGTTCCCCGGGGCCAGTAGTTAATTTGCTTGACGTTTCGGACTCTCACTCAAGCTCATCCTCAAGTGTACAACTGAATGACGAGAATGACATTTAGCTCTGCTATCTATTTATTCGTGCAACGCGAGATAGACATCAGGAAGATCAATATGTCTATTAATAGAATCCACGTGCAAGTGTGGTGCCTCCTGCAGCAGGCGTAAGATTCGGTCGTCCGACTGACCCAGGATTCGCACTAGTTCAAAGTCGAAGTCGTGCCCTGGCGTGGATGCGTGAGCGGCTACCAAAGACAGCTTTTCATTATCCCTCGCACGGCGAGTTCGTGCTCGTGCAGTCGCCTGCAGCAGTATGCAGGTGCCAACGGCAAATTATTGTCCAAACCCAGGATAAATGCTGTTCTCATAAGTAAAAAAACTGAAAGCCCATGTTTTAAGAGTATGGTGCTTATAGCATTTTTGAAGAGCACTGCAAATAAGTGAAAGCATAAAACCCTGAGAGGAGCATAATTAAATAATGACAAAACGACTAACAAAACAAACACAAACGAAGGAAACGGCTCTCCACGTGAAGCACAGGAAAGAAAAATGCAGCATGATGGAAACGGAAAAATAATACTTTCAAATATAAGTTATACGATTGAGAGTAGGGCAGCAGAGATAAGATAAAACCATAGTCAGAAACATAAGAACTTTGTGGATAGTAAGTTTAAGCAAATTTTTGTGATATAAACCAAACTGGTCATTGTATTTTTGTTTACTTTTCGCCCTGAGGAAAGAAAATATCTCAATTTTAAGCAAGAGACAATTGCACTTAAAATACACTTACTTATTTTTTGAAGAATTAGATAAAGATAGCCTCAGGAGAAGAATCTCATACCTCGCAAATAAGAACACATCCATGCTAAACTATAGGTTGTTGGGAACCCTATAGATACCGCAATGTCTCAGATTGAGAGCCCGAGGAAAAAAAATTATACATCGCTTTTTTCCCTTTTACTTATTAGATGATCGAAAACCTCTCTTTTACAAGTAACCTCTTTTGGTAAAACAAATATTTTTTGAACGGTGTGGTTCCTAACAAAAATATAATGAAAAACAGCCAACCCAAAGGTATCTATATCATAGAAAACAGAGAAAACGTTGTTTTGGGAGTCATGGTGCCTTCATTGTCCTAAGGTTGACGAAATGACACTTCTGCTTGTTTTCAACTTGAGGCTCGATAACAAAAAACACAGAGGAAACTTTGTCGGTCTCAGTGATGACAGTCATCAGTTTTTTCGTACGAAGGCGCCCTGGAAAATTGCATCTGCCACGCATAAAGACAAAAACAGGTCCGACTGCTTATGTAATTATTCAGTTTCACCCAAAAGGCATTGCGTCTTTCTACTCTGTTGCCTTTCGTTTTTTTCTTCCGTTTATTCTGCCGCTTATTTAAAATTTTTCAGGTCCGCTGCTCTTCCTAGACCCTTTGCTCGTACCTATTCCAGTTGGCCGTAGGTTCTCATGCGATCTTAGATGATTTGATCCTTTTTACTGCTAAATTGTTTTGCATTCAGGCCCAACAATTTATTCTATTTCACAATATCCTAATTTGTGCGTCGTTTTCTATGCCATTTGTGGTTTCTTTTGTTTTTGCTGAGTTTATTCTATTAGTGCTTTCCTTTTTTCACCACATCATAACACGCTTTGCATTCCTACGTTGATTTGTTTTCTTTAGCACATCGCGGTTACAAAGTTATCTCATATCTTCCAGCGTCAAATAAATTTTAATCGAATTCTATTTGCCTTATTGTATTTTTCCTCTTTCTATGTTTTACATGCTTTTTAAAGTAATTACAAAAGTTGACGTTTATTTTCTACTAAGTACGAGCTTAATGAAAATACTGTATATGGCCTTGGCTTGAACCAACAAAAAGTTTGTAATTTAAATTCAGCCGTACGATATGCTGCTGTTTTTGGTATTCTAAGAACATGGTACTCATTTTATACAAAAAACTAAATTTATAACACCACCTTCTAAGTAATTTTTGCTGATGATTTAAAGTAAGTGTTTAGTTATTGACGCTGGCGAATTTGTCATTCATAGTGAGCCATTCTTTTAGATATAAAACGGAAAAATAAGTTTAACTTAGATCAATACAAAAACATCATTTAGTTTTTTTATGAATATTTACTTTATTAAGGCGGAATGATAGACTAGGGAGAGAGAGCAAGGAAAAAACAGTAACAAAAATTGCATGGAAATTGTCTTTGCAGATTATCTGTGGAAAGAA